GGGTAGGGGAAAGGAAAAAAGGGAAAAGAAAAAATATGAGAAAAGGAAAAAACTGGAAACAAAGTCTTTGCAAATAGGGAAGGGGGGTGGTGAAGGGAGAGCAAGGGAAGGGGAAAAACAAAAGAACCAAGAAACTCATGTAATGGTACAAGATCCCAATGATGAATGTAACTGTATTTTATACCGAAAATGTCCCAATAAACATAATGGGAAAAAAAAAGGAAAGAGCCTGGGTTAGGAATTAGGAGTACTGGCTTCTAATCCAAGCACTGACATTAAATCTTGGCATAACTCTAGAGGAGGGTTGTGCTCCCTACTTCCTGATTGACTCTTTTTACCACCTGCTTTATATGCTGGTGGAATGGCATAATCAAGCAGAGTTGGATACCTGGCAACAGCCTCGACTGCCGTGGAAGTTGTTCCCAGCCAACAGCAGTCCATTCCCCTTGAGACATGGGTTACAGGTAGGCAGGTGGCAGAGTGAGTTGCTCTTTTGTGAGGTGGCCTAGCTAGCTGGACCTCTGGTAGTCATAGGCCCTCTCCTCCCAACTAGCCTTCCACCTGAAGCCTTCTTACCCTTTCTTGTCTGACAGCCTCCTGTACAAAGCAAAAATGTTATAGCCCTCTAAGTTCTCCCCATCAATACAAGTGAAGAGCCATTCTCTCAGTCATTCAGCAACTTCATTTGGCCCAATACCACTTTTGTCCCAGTTATTCCCTTTTCAGTTCTTATTTCTTTTTGTTTGCTTGTTTGTTTGTTTGGTACCGGGGATTGAACTCAGGACCTTGCTCTTGCAAGGCAGGCACTGGAACCACTGAGCTAAATCCCTGGCCCTCAGTTCTCATTTCTTAACTACCAGATTTTGTCCTAGGCCCTACCCAGGTTTTCCACTATATATTTCCCAGCTGGTGGGTCCAACCTGTCCTCTAAAGATGCCTGTGGTCATCTTTCTGATCTCCAGATCTGCATCTGAGATCATTGGAGCCTTTACCCACACTTCTCTCCTCCAATACTCTGTTGCCCCTGGCCCTTCCCCACTATCTGTTTTCCCAAATTCAGGTGGTTTTCAAAGCCTAGGAGGGGAATACTGAGTCAAAGATACCGCTTGGCATGACCCTGAGTTCAAATATTGCTTTCTGATAGAGGCATCATTGTCCTTGTTGCTGTTTAAGGGAGAGGTAGAGGTAGCTGAGCACCAAATGATTAAATGTAGAGAACTTGCCAAACATCTGGTGGCATAAAGCCAAGAGCTAGATTCAAACTAAAGGAGTACAAGGGGCACCGTTTTAGCTGAGGAGGATAAGTTTTACAATGAGCATTTAGAAAAAGGAGTGTTCATGCCAGCTGGAGAAAGCAGGTCAGGGTCTACAGACACTTTGACTGAACTCCAAAGACAAGTAGGGTGTGGGTGGGGAGGGGGAACAGGAGAAGGACAGGAGTGGGAGCCCCTGGACAAATCTATGTTCTCACCCTGGCTTTCCATTAGAATCCCCTGGGGGTTGGCTTGGCCTCGACCTAAAGCTAATGTAAAGATACCCAGGCCCCACACCCAGAGAATTCAGGTTTCATTGGTTAAGAAGTGAGGCCTGGGCATTTATAGTTTTAAATTTTTCATTTGTACTTTGTGATTTATTGGCAACTATCTGTCATACTATCCAATATTATTTTTTAATTTGTAATATAGTTCAGTAGACTAGGGTAGTGATTTAAAGGCAAGTCCTCTTTCTTGGAATCATGGCTCCCTGCTCACTGACCATCTGAGCAAGAATGATGTCCTGAGGTTCCTAAATTTCTTCTTTCTTCCTCTGTAGAATGGTGACAATAATAGCTCCTACATCTCCTGTGGTTGTTTTGTAGCCCCATGAGATAATGCCTTCCAGTGCAGATCACAACTCCCTTCACACTGGTTCTGTTAAATGGCTCTGCAAATAGTTCTAATATATAGCCATGATTGAGAACCTCTAGCATAATGCAAAGGCAAAGAAGTTAGAACAAAATAGACTGTTAGGGATGCTTAGGTGTTGGGAAGAATGTGTAACAGAGGGAGGAGAAACTGAAAGTCATTATAGTATGTATTGTATATATATTGTGTAATAACAGGGTGAAATGTTGGTATTTCATCTTATTAAGCATAACAGAAACCGAAATTTTATAGTTTGAAGATGCAGCCTGACATGAGGAAGTTAGTACATCAGGAATTGTGGGGGACAGTCTTGATTGGAAGGAAGAGATGGAGTTCAGAAATAGTATGGGATCAGGAGCACTGTGGAAATTGCAAAGAAAGGATGAGTGTGAGGTGAAGCACAAAGGAAGAGTTGGTAGGATTTAAGACCTTAGTGGACATAAGAGCTTAGGGAGATTGAGGGAAGAAAAATAAAGTTAAGCTTTTAATCTAGGAAGACTAAAGAAATAGCTGCTATGTTGGTTAAGATTATATTTAACTGTGAGTATCAGACCAATCAACAGTGGCCTAAACAAAACAGAAGATTTTATCTTCACCAGTTAAAAGTCCAAAAGTGGACAATTCAAAGCCAGTAAGGCAATTCTGCTCCACAAAGTCCTTGGAGATCCAGACTCCTGCTATCCCTTCCCATGGTGCCAGAGAGCATTTCTTGGGTTCCAGCATCCACATGGAGAAGAACTGGTAAAATGCAAGAGCCAGGGTCATTGGAGGGAGATTTCTTTAGCCATTCATCATGTTCATGTACATTCCTTTGTTCATAAATTTGTCTCATGGCTATACCTAGTTGCAATAGAATCTAAGAAGTATGGTCTTTATTTTCTAAGTAAGCTTATATCCAGATAAAAATTCTATAGTCAAAGTAGATTGTTTCTATACAAGAAGAGGAATTCAGATACTAGAGAAGAGCTAAGTCTGCACAGTTACCTCTTTTTTTTAAATAGTGAACTTGAATCATAGGGTTCATTTGGGAAAATATTTTTAATATGTTGAATTGGAAATATGTGGCATAATTTGTTATGGTTAGTTGTCCCCCAAGAGCCTCCCGTGCTCATAGGCAGGGCTTTTGGAAGAGGAGTGGACCATGAGGGCCCATAGCTGACTGACTGTTAGGAGGTGGAGCCTGGTCAGAAGAGGTGGGTCACTGTGGGAGGTGTAGCCTAGAAGGGTGCATCTCCCTCCCTGGTTCTTTCCTTCTTTCTCTGCTTCCTGCCTGCCATGACATGAGCAGCTTTCCTCCAAGGGCCCTTCCCTATGCTCTTTCTGGCTTGAACCCAGCTGAATATGGACTGAAACTTCTACAAACTGTGAGCCAAAATAAACTTTTCCTCCTTTAAGTTGTGGATGTCAGATATTGTGTCTCAGCAATGAGAAAAGTGATTAAGACAGAATTTTTAAATGATCCCATGATTCCTGGCTCCTGTTGTATACACCTTTCTAATGCCTACCACGAATGAGGCCAGGGAATATGATGGGAGCTTTCAAGGAGACATTAAGAATGGTGTGGTAAGGATGAAAGTCAAATGCAAGAAGTGAACAAGGAAATGACCAATGGAAAGAAAAGAAGCAGCTGTCAACCTGGAAAAGTCAGCATAGCACACAAAATCCTCCATGAGCTAGCCACAGTCTCCCTCTCCAGAACTTTCTTCTGCCAATCTCTTCCTCTCATATCTTATTTCAATTTTACCAACTGCTCCACACCTGCTGGTCTTGCCTCTGTGCCACCCGGAATGTGTTTCACTTGTTCCCTTTGGTGTAATTAACTCCTGCACAACTTCCCAAGCTCAGTTCAAACATTGTCTTAGACGTAATCTTCTCTAAACCTCAAGGGCAGTCAGGTGTCACTCTGTGATGCTCTGTTGATGCTCCAAGCCTCCCTCCATTCCTGAATTTGTCATATTTTTAGAATTTTACAGTTCAGTATGAGTTTGTCTCCTTTGTGAGCTCCTGGAAGCTAAGCACAGTCTTTGTAGCCACAGAATGTAGCACAACTCCTGATGCAGTGAACTCTCAAATATGCAGGCAGCAGATTTAAAAAGATCTCTCAAGAGCTGGTATCAAGGGAACGTAGGACAAGGGGCATTTATTCTAGGACTGGTAGACAGAATGAGAGGACAAATAAGGAAGGAGATACTTTAAATGAGGACTCCTTGTAATCAGGTTCCACTTATCACATCCCAGTAAGATGTTTATTGGCATTTTTAATAATCAAGATCTAGTGAATGTTAGTTTAGAGTTTAGAAATATAATCTTGTTAATAAGACAGGATGAGGAGGTAATGGTGAGACAAGGTTTTTTACTTCCAAAGCAAAAAGAATCTGAACTGACAAGAGAAAAACAAACAAAAACAAAGGCAACAATAAAGTTGGCATTCAATCCATAAATTAACTACAAATCTCAACTGGAATAGAGGGCTATCAAATTCTGAATGGAACCTCAGTGCTCCTTTTCTCCTGGGCACCCCTCCCCAGTTCAATTCAATTTAGTTTAACAAGTATTGATTGGTCACCTAATGTGTTCTTAGAGTACTCTCCACTGCAGGAGACCAGGCATTGAGGATGCAGCTATGAAGAGGACAAACATAGGCTCCATGCTCACAGATGAAGTATGATGAATTAACCAGGTACAGTAGTTGCAAGTTCAAGGAAAGTGGTTGTAGGAGACTCCTTTGTTCTCTTGGATCACATTCTTTAAACCCATCTCTGATTTCAGCTACAGATTTTGGAGGCAGTGCTGGACAAGCCCAAATCTGTCACTTGCTGACAACATCCTCCTTGAAGCTTATGCACTGCCAAGTTTTCATTTCTGCCTCTCTAGTTCTGTGGGAGCCCTCTTGGAAATGTGAAGGAGAGGGAGTTCTGGAAGAGATAGTCCCTACTAACCTGAAAACTTTCTACAAAACTGTGAGCCATATTCTTCACCCTTCCTCCTACCCCATATTCCTCACCCTTCCTCCTATCCTGTCTCTCCCCACTCCTGTGCTTCTGATTTGCATGATCACATCCCCATTACATGACCTGTACAAAGTCTATGGCTCATTAGGGGACCTAACTAAATACAGTGAAATTTCAAGGAGCTATGAGAAGATGTAATAAGGAGATTTAACCTGGTTGGATTTCCTAAGGTCTCCTTAAAAAGATCTTATAAAGTGATGTCTAAGATGACACTTAAAGAACAGATAGCAGTTCTCCCAGATAAAGAGGTAAAGGATGGATGTGCACAGAACCTGACATGTGCAAGGCCCAAAGTCTACCCTGGGCATGATATCTTTGAAGAGCTTAAAGAAGACCACAGAGACTGTTGCAAAAGTGAAATGAGGTGAGACTTGAGTGCTGAGCAGGGTGTCTTGGAGAACCTTGCAGTCATGGTAAGGATTTTGGATTTCATCCTAAGGCAATGGGTAATAACTGAAGGCTTTAAGTATCCTTGAAACATATTTATATTTTTTTAAAAGATTGTGTTGGCTACATTATAAAGAGTGAGAGGATCAGGGGAGATGTGAAGACCACTCAAATAGTTCAGAGGCTAAGAAGTAATCCAGGGGAGCATAGCTAAACCTCATGGCAGAGGGGATGGGGAGGGCTGAGGTGTTAAGAGGCAGCACAAGAGCCCGGGTGTTTGGTTAGATGTGGTGATGAGGGAGGAGAACAAGACAAGGATGAGGCTCAGGCTTCTGATTCTAAAAAGTAGAATAGGAACAGATAAATACTGATGGCTCAAGGATCATTTTCCTCTTTTTTGTTAACAGTTGGCAGGCTTGGTAGGTCTGAGTCAGCTCAAGGGAAGACAGGCTCAGCACAGTGCTGAGCTCAGAGCAGCCCCTTTCTAGCATGACCACTTCCTTGCATGGCACAGGGTTGCTCCATTGTCCCTGCACCCTCCCACTGTCTCTATAAATAGGGATCGCAGTCCCTCCTGACCAAAGGGTTCCAGCCTCATCTTTAGATGTCTCCATCAATATCTGTGAAACAGAGTCTAGAAAAAAAGACTAAAAAAGCTATCTTTATTTAGCCTGGAGAAGCGAGGGAGGGAGAGCTGTGATATTGCTAGGAATAAACTACTGCTTTTATCTTTTCCTCCTAAGGAGGACAGAGGAGGTGGACTTAGGATCCAGTTACAGAATTGATTCTCAGTCCAGAAGGGAGGGGGATCTCCCAACCCTAACTCCGAGGACATTCTGCAATGTCAGGAGTGGTGAGTAGATGTGATTTGCCACCAGCATCTAGGAGAGAGGTCAAGGATGTTGTGACATATCTTGCAGTGTACAGGACTGGCCTCACTACAGAGAATTATCTGGCCCCAAATTCAGTCATGGGTAAGATACTCTGAGTTAAAGGAATTTTAGTTACTTGATTTCTTTTGAAACAAAGAAATATAGTCACTCTATACCCCCAAGTCACTTAGTATTTATTTTCTTGCTTGTTGAAGGATATATATGATTGGGGTCTGGGATTAGAACAGGAAAACTGTCAGGAATCTAGCTCTCTCGACTAGAGTCATATAAATCCTTCAACTAGAAGATTTTGTTTCTATTTGGTGCTTCCTCTTGATTCTGACTTGCCAGACCTTTTAAAATTCTAAAAGAAGTAGCCCAATAGACTGACTACACCTTTGGAGACTTCATGATAGGCCATCTTTCTGGGCTGTCACATCCTGTAGGTCGAAGAAAATACTCTTTGGACAGCCGTTCATCTCCCTATTCTATTAGATGCCACTCTTCTCCAAGACATCCCTGGATAGGAGACTGTGAGTAGGGCAGTTTGAGTTAGAAGGGGACACTGGATTCAAACACTGTAACCAGCAACTATCTTGGTCTTTCTAGCACATGGCTATCTTTTTCTTGGTATAGCAAAGATGTGCTGAATTCAAAGCTATGCTTCTCCTTTTCATTCCAAAGCTCCATTGTTCAATATGGTAGCCGCTAGCTCCATGTAGGTACTTAGGTTTAAATTATTTAAAATTAAACACAATAGAAAATTCAGTGTCTCCACGGCATTAGCCACAGTTGATGTGCTCAAGAGCCCCATGGGGTAGTGGCTACCATATTGGATGGTGCAGATGGAGAATACTTCCTTCATTGCAGAAAGTGCTATTGGGCAGCACGAATCCAAAGGAAGAAGACACTGACCAACTGGAAGGTTGGACATAAATAGAAAACATATTTAATGTCAGCCCCAGAGAATGAATAAAAGAGTTTTGTTTTATTCATTCACAGTTCTTACTGCTAAGTATGCATGAAATACTGTGTTCAGCTGTGTTTGTTACAGAGTTCATGCCTTGGCTGGCATGGCCCCCAGGGATTATATTCCTCTGCTCACTGAAGCAGGAGCTTGCTGAATAATTTTACCCAAGGAGGATTGCTGTAACTTACCATTCAGAAGGGTACTATCAATGCTAAAGAGTAGAAAGTAGTTGAGGAGCTATGAATAGTGCATAATAAGCTTTTCAGGTACCATGACAATAGATGACACATAGAAATTTACAGCTCAGGTGAATGAGAGCATGTGACCAGAGTTATTAGCCTCACCCACAGGGCTTTATAAGCCTAGCAGGTCTATCATTCATAGTTCCTATCTTCCCTGTGCTCTCCTTTCCTCCCCTCATCTGATTTTGCTTCCAAAGAGAACACATTTTCTGCCCATGAGGCTGTCATTCCTGCTGTTCACCCAGTACACCAGGCCTCTGCCTCCCAGGCTCAGGACAGAACTGTACTCCTGTTCCCCATAAGTGGGAACTGAGCCCATGTGATGAGTCTGGCTGGTGTTATGGTTTATGTCTAGATGACCCCCAAAGCCTCATGCACTCATAGGCGAGCTTGTAAAAGGGGACTGAATCATGAGCAATGTGAGGAGGGGGAGCCTGAGCAGGAAAGATGGATCACATGGCCTAGAAGTGTACATCTCTCTCCCGGGCTCCTCTACTTGCTCTTTTCTTTCTGGCCATCATGATATGAGCAGATGTCCTCTGCTGTGTCCCTCTCCCATGCTGGCCTGCCTTGAAGCCAGCAGACTATGGACTGAAGATATGAGCCACATTATACCTCTCCTCCTTTAAGTTGAGACTGTCAGGTACTGGGTCCTGGGTACTGTGACTAAGACAGCTGCTGAGGGAAGTGTTCTTTGCAACTTACCCACCAGAGCACCCGACTGCTGATGTGAGACTGTCCAAAAGTCCCTTCCTGGCACTGCCACCAGTAACATTCAAGATGTCAGCTGTCCCCTTGTTCTGGATCCCTGAGTGGCCACCATTCTTGGTACCTCTGGCAACCCCTGATGGAGATGTAATGTAGGTGAAATAAACCTGTGTTGTTTTCAGAGAAAGAGAGAGAGTACTTGGTCACTACCTTTCACATACTCATATGCTCAGCCTTACTGTCTATGACATTGCAGTCTGCTATGTTTGTTAGCTGAATTTGTTTCCTGTAATTTAGAAAAACAAATGAGTTGAAGCATTTCATATTTGAACCAATCACTGAACTTAAATGTTGATATGACTGATCTTGTTTTTACAGGTTGGGGTCTTGATAGTAGAATAAGGGGCCTCTTCACCTGCTGAGAGGGAAGTACTTCTTCTGCAAGCTGTTTAAGTACCACCCATCTCTTTATTCCTTGTGGAATGCTCTAAAGGCTGACAACAGCTTTGGAAAAGCAATTCACAGTGGTTAATAACAGCAGTGAGTGAAAGAGGAGAGTAAAACCCTAAGAGGAGTTGACAGGAATTTTCTCAATTAGGAGACAGGAGCTTAAATGGACACAGCTTCTGAACCTCCTTTATTCATTGGCAAATATTCATTAAGCACTTACTATGTGTTCTGCCCAGATGGAGCTTATGTTGATGGGGAGTGGGGGGGGGGGTCACAGGCAATACGCAACTAAACTAAAGTGCAATAAAGGAAGTAATGAGGAACGAGATGGAATAAAGGAGGGGAGAAGAGGCAGACAGGGAAGCCTCTCTGAAGCGACGGCCCTTGAGCTGCAAACTTTGTCTGCAGAGAGCCAGTGAGCACCGCTTTAGGCTTTGTAGGCCACACAATCTCTGCTGCAAACTTGCAGCTTATGAAACAGTCAATACATAAGCAAATGAGTGTGGCTGAATTTCAATAAAACTCCACTTATGGGCAATAAAATCTGAATCTCATAATATTTTGTGTCACAAACTATTATTCTCCTGAATTTTCCCCACCATTTAATAACGTAAAAATCATCTTTAGCTCATGTGAACTATATGAAATCAGGCAGCAGCCACAAGTTAGCCTGCAACCAAACCCCTGATGTAGGTTCCCAATTCAAATAACTCAGATCAATACATCATTTAAGAGGCATTTGCAAAGTAATCCATCAGGAAGCAGTGAAGGCTTGATGTGATGCTTGCAGTGGCGGGAGGGAAGGGAAGGATTCCAGGTGTTTGGGGCTGGGCCCAGCTATGCCTATGTACATGACATGGAAGTAAACAGGAGAGGAGCCAGGAGGACTCCATGGTGGTGCCATTTGTTGCAGGGGAACAGCTAGGAGGTGAGGTCCGGAGGGAACAGTGGGTTTCTACATGCATCCTAATGTATTAGCTAGACTTGATTTGGAGCTAGAAAACAGGACATCTCCACACCTGGATTTTTCCAAAGCCTGTTGCTTCTATGCTGTGTGACCTTAGGCAAGTCATTTATGTTCAATCCTTCTTCTTGTGTCAGTAACGGAGAGAATATTTTCTCCTCTCTCCGTTCTATATGGTGGTGAGAAGCAAGTGAGCCTTCACTGGCACCTGGTGAGGCTTTCCTTCCAGTCTCAGCCCCTCACCACCCCATCTCCCCATCTGCCCCAAACCCAAGTCCAGGTGAATTTCTGGGTGAATCTTTACATTTGGTGGGGGAGTGGTCACATCACTCATTCACTGCATAGCAAAACTGTCTGCAAATCCCTGTTAAGCTTCTCTTCTTTTTATGAAGTCCTCTCTGCTGCAGCTAACTTCAACCTTTCATGCCTCAACCTTCCAGGGCCTTGCCACTTTTTCTTTTTTCTTTTCCCTCTCCTATGGTCACCCTTTCCTTACTCTCTCACATTGCATAGTCAAAAACCCCTCAAAAGAATCACACTCGTAGTTTAAGTAAAACTGGGGAACTAGAATAAGATTGATATATTGTATCAATGCCACCTGCCTGGTTGTAATATTGTAACTATATCCTTAAAAGATGTTACCATTGAGGAGAAAAGGGCAAAGAGCACAAGTAATCTCTCCCTACTGTTTCTTTAAAATGCATGTGAATCTATAGTGGTCTCAAAATAAAAACAAAATAGAACACAAAAACAAAAACCAAAGTACCATGACTTATAAGCCTCACTCAACAAGTCTGAAGCTAGCTAGGACTTGGGACCAGAATTCCCTCAACAGGTGCATTAAACTATTTTCTCTACTTTTATCTATGTCTGAAATTTTTATTAAATGAAAGTTAACAAATATACCCCTCGCTAGTCAAACAAATCACCCATTTTTCAAACTTGAGGGACTTTAATTTACCCCACTATAGAAACAAGAAAATTAGTTTTGAAGTGCACCCAAGTGAAGAACTGTGTTCTGTGACCCCAGCATGTACCAAGCACAACCTTGCACCAGACTCCATGATTAAAAGCCCGGAGATTCAGGCGACTCCAAGCCTTGATCTGTTTGACAGGTAAGGAGAAGGAGGCATCTGTGGGACAGATGAGGTTTGAATTGAAGATGTTCTCGATGTGGTTAGAACACACAACCCCTACCTCTGCCCCTTTTGCTTTAAGAATCATCAATCTATGCCAAGAGGATGAAATCACATCCTTTGGACTTGGGCCACACTCCTGGCCTCAGCCTCTGTCTAAAAGCTCAAGGCAAAGAATGATAATCACAATTTCTATAATCCAATTGTGTAAGCTATCTACTTAGAATGCAATTTCCAAAAAGGCATTCCTCAAACTCCTGTTCCACAAGACCTACAGATGTTCCTTGAACAACAGCCCCACAGTCCAAGAAGTTGAGGGATCTGAGTACAATTTGCCTGGTTATTTCTCCATGGAAATTCACAAGGTGCACAAAATTGCAAAGTTCAGGCAATTCCTGTTTAGGTCTGTTTAAATCATCAATGCCCGGTTTGCTAGGTACTGCGATGGTTGGATGGTTGTCTGTGTCAAATTGAGTAAGAGAAGCTCAACTAAATTGGCTCAGCAATTCCACACCTTAGGGTGTGGAGGACCCACTCTAGGCTTGTTGCCTGGATGGTATAAAGGGGAAACGAAGAAGGATGGATCTGCTTCTGTTTCTTCAAAGGCACTCCAATCTTCGCCTTCACCTTGAACATCATCTCCTGGCTTCCAGCACAGACTCTTAGCCTTCCAGTGTGGATCCTTCAGCCTTCCAGAGTAGACTCTTCAGCCTTCCATCACAGACCCATTTGCCTCCTGACACAGACTCGAAAGGGACACTGCAGTGATCTCCAGACCTTCGGCTGAATCCTTTGGTCTTCAGTGTGCAGACAGACCCTCTGGGCTCTTCCTCATCTGGCTCTGTGAGTGGCCAATGTAAGCCAATCTTGTAAATTCTTATATATTTGTATATTTTGTGTTATATCTATTTCTCTAGGAAACACTGACTGATCCAGATACCTATTAATATCTTGCTTATCCAGTTTTTGGAGGAGAGCACTTCTGCCACAAGCTAGTGGACACGCCTGCCACACACACTAAGCATAACATTAGGGGCTCCTGAGGGGCCAACTTCCTGAGAAGAGGGGCCCTGCTTGAAAATAGCTCAGAGCGTAGAACCTGACTGAAAATCACGGCAGGAGGATTATTTGAAACTCCAGCACCCAGTGGAAGCAGAGTGGCTGCCTGGGAGGACCTCCAGCCATGGCCACCCATTGCCATCTCTTAGGTGCTAGACACAGGCATGGGCTGCTGCCTTTCTGGCCCGAAGGCCACCAGCTGGGAGAGTGCTCTGTGCAATCTGCCTTTGGCTTTTCATATCACCCTCCTCACCCTCCAACTTTCCCGCACCCCTCAAGCCCTAGAAAAGAGAGTGGGGTCCTGGACTTTTTTTTTTGTACCGGGGATTGCACTCAACCTTGCCCTTTCGAGGCATGTTCGGTGCCACTAAGCTAAATCCCCGCCTGAGTCCTGGACTCTTAATGGGGTGGGGTAGATATTTAGAGGACTGATCTAAACCAGCTCAAGATCTCTAGAACTGGGTTCATGACTACTATCATCTCTGTGAGGCAAACATTTTCTCCATTATACAGATGAAAAAAACTGAGGCTCATGTAATATATGTCTGAAATTTATACAGCTACTTAGAGGCAAAGCAAGAATTTGAACCCAAGTACATTGTACAGAAAACCCTGGGTTCTTGATAGGGGGTGACCCCCCACCCTAAAGGTGCCAGGACCCAACTCCACACCCACAGGCACAACTGTTTCCCCTGCTGGGTACAGCAGGAGGCCAGCACCTGCTCCACTTTACAGCAAGCCTTCTCCAAACCAGGTGTCGCTGACTCTCAGCCTCCATTTATTTTTCAGGTGTCCAGATATTTACTGGGACTCTATTTGGTCTCAGGACAGGCTATGTGTAATACTTTACTTGATCTTCATAACCTCACTGAGTAGCAGTTAGGAGAGATTTAAGTGAAAATAATACAAAAAAACACAAGGATCATGATGCTATTGTCTATATTCTTATGCCCAAGAAATCACCTCTATTAACATATTGCCCTTTTTGCTTATCTGCCTTGTATTTTATGGTCACACCTTTTAAGTTATGTACGGTAAATAGTACATGAACACAGTGTCTCTTACTGAAAACATTTAGGCATAACAAATAAAGCTGACCTTCAGGACCTCCACTCCTTCCCCTGCCCTCCACCTCACCATGCCAGTCCTCTCCCTCCACCAGGAGAAACTATTAGGAATTCGATGAGCTCTTTCTGATTGTTAAAAATGCATTTGATGTACACGCTTGTGCCCACAGAAAAAACATAACTTTGCTTCCCACAGAAAAGACATAACTCTGTTTGATTTGCATAAACCAGGGTAATGCTGCACCCATCCTTCAATGTCTTGCTTGTATTCACTCATGGCTATGTCTTGAGATACATTCACCTTGATACATAGTGTTCGACTTACTTCTTGTAAGTGCTAAGCAGAGTGACAGGTACTAGGGCTGGAAAGAACAGCTAGGACTTGGCTAAGTTTTTTATGAAAGGATCCCACTGGTGCAAATGCACAGCTCTGGCTCATCTTCCTGCCTGTATTGGTCCCTTCCCTTACCCTAGTAGGATGCAGCATGCTGTAAGGAATGAGAATTCCACAGTTCACACAGAAAAGGGCATTGGGCTCAGTGTTTGGAGGTGACTACATTCATTCCCCATTTACAGACCTAGCATTTGGCTTCAAGGATTTTTAATCTTTTGTTTCACCTCAGAAGTAGACACCTGGGGCCGGGCATTTAGCTCAGTGTTTCTGCCACCTGCCTCGCAAGCGCAAGGTCCCAAGTTCGATCCCCAGTACTAAAACAACAGCAACAACAAAAACCTAAGAGCATATAGAAGTAGGGACCTTTCTGATTTACACTTGTCTCATGGGCGCTATTCAAGATTTCGAGGCAGCTGAATGCGGTGGTATGCATCCATCTTTCCAGCACTCCTAGGTAGGAGAGTGACAAGTTTGAGCCCAGCCCAGGTGATTTAGCAACTTAGTGGGATCCTTTCTCAAAAATTGGTCAGATGTACCTCAGTGCAAAGGCCTTGGGTTCAATCCTCAGCATTAGAAAAAAAAATTTAATGCATCATCCTGGCAAACACCTAAGGCAAGATTCACAAGATGCCAGCTTAAGTGTATACCACAGTCTACCCATCCATCCTCCTTTGGCAGGATATGGAGATTGATGCTGCACTGAGTGTCCTTCCACAGGGCTCCTGGCACACAGGTTTGATCAATGGTGCCACAACCAAGTTGCCAACAAAGCCATTAAGCCAGTTTACACCCAGAGCAGCAGGCATGGGGGCTTCTGTTTCCCCATGCCAATGACAACACATGAGACGGTTAGACTTTACCATTTTTTACTTAGCCTCTCCATTTACACAGTTGTTGAAGACAAAAACAAAACAACAACAGACCCACAACCATAAGGACAAATTGAAAGATCCATCCCCCCATCTGCTAGTGTTTGAGTGCATCCCCAAAGATTCACATTTTGGAAGCTCCATCCCCAGTGTGGTGGACCTTTAAAAGATGGAGTTCAGTGGGAGGTCCTGAGGTCATGGGAGAAGCTGTCCCCAGAAGGGATTAAGGTCGTTTCTGGGACTTCTGAGCTGTCTTGCAAGAAGCAGTTGTAATAAAAAAGACCAACTTCTGAACTGGTCTCTGGTTTCCTGTTTGGTGATGTGATCTCTTCTCCTACACAGGTTCCTGCCATTGTCATCTGCTATGAGCTGGTGCAGCCAAAGGCTGCAGCCCTCACCAGAGCCTGCATTATGCTGTTCGGACTTTCGGCCTCTAAAACTGAGAGCTAAATAAACCTCTTTCCATTATAAAGTTAGCCTGCCTTAGGTATTTTGTTACAGTAATAAAAAAGTGGACTAATACACCATCTCTCTACCACCTCTTCATCCACCCACCTCTTCACATCCATTCCTACAAAAGCCACCAGTGGGTCCTGATCCCTTCTAATCCATTTTGCACACTGCTGCAGGGTACTTACTTCTAAATGAAATATTTCAAACCTTAAAACAAGTAAAAATAATAATATAATGACACACTCAAGTGCCCACTTTATCAAATACTCAGCAGTATCAATTTTTAACATTGTGTTGCATTTACTTCCCATCCATGTTTTGCACTTTTCCTACAAATTTATGCAGTAAACATAACCATAAACAACATAGAGAGTTGTTTTTGCATATTTTGAAACTTTTTATAAATGACATCATACAATATGCATTCTTCAGACTCATGGTTTTTTACATCTCCACTGATATATGTGGCTTTTATTCATTTACTCTGAAAGCTGCACTGTGTTCTGTTAAATAGATACATCACAATTTATCCATTCTTCTATGGTCCCGGTGTTTCATTATCACAAACCATGCTGGGGTAATGGTGAGCCTTCTTGTCCAGAGTCTCCTTATGCATATGTATATTAACTCCCATGGAGAGTATGCCTGCAAATAGAGTACCTGGATGTAGGGGTATATGCCTTGGCTGTGCTAGATATTGCCAGATTGCTCTTGAAAATGGTTATACCAGCTTACACTCCAAAAGCACAAACATTTATTAATATTAAATGTCTAATACCTGATAATACTATCTTGATTTATATTTAATGTGCAATTTCTTGATTACTGTTGAGGTCAAGCAGTTTTTCAGATGCTTATTGACCACATGAGCTTCTATATCTGTAAAAGTCCTCTTTGCATCACTTGCTATTTTTTAAAGTGTGCCATTTTTTAAAAAACTGACTTGTAGGAGTTTTTATTTCTTTTTGTTTGTTTGTTTGTTTTTGGTACTGGGGATCAAACTCGGGACCTTGCGATTGCATGGCAGGCGCTGAGGACCTTTAAAATATATTCTGGCTACTAACTCTTGGGCTATTTGTGTTACAAAAAAATTCTCCAGTCTATGTCTGTCTTTAACTGTGTTTATAGTGTCTTTGTTGTACCAAAGTTCTACATTTTTAATAAGGTCAAATTTATCCATCATTTTCCAGAATTTGGAGATTTTGTGTCTTAGGAAATCTTTCCTCTTCCTACCTGAGATTACAAAGATACACTATTTTTTGCTAAAGTTTTTCTTTTCTACATTAAAGTCTTTACATAGAATTTCTCTCTGATAGCTATGGAGATAGTCCCATGAAAATAATAACTTGTCTCAGCATCATTTACTAAATAGTTCTTGAATTTTTCCCCATGAATATGAGAAATCTCTTATATGTCAAGTTTCTAAATATGAGTGGGTTTAGTTTTTGGATTGTAGCTTATTTTAGCTTATAGGGCTACTTTTCTGTCCCTGTGGTAATACCACACTATCTCAGTTAATATTATTTTATAACAAATCTTCATATTTTGTATGGAAAGTATCCCCATCCTATTTGCCTCTTTACAGTGGCCTTAGCTCTTTTCTTCTGGTTCTTCCACATTAATATTAGAATAAGCTTGTCAAGTTCCACCAAAAAATACTGCAGGAATTTTCATTTCTATTGCTTTAAATGTATATATTATACCAAGAAGAGCTCACACCTTTACAATAGTATCTTCCAACCCAGGAATACCACCCATGAACATTTAAAAAAATCTCCATTTATCTAGATCTTCTTTTATGTCCTTCAATAATATTCTGTAGTTTTTTCCCATAAAAGTCTTGCACATCTTTTGTTAGATTTATCCATAGGTATTTTAAAGTTTATTGCAATTTTGAATGCTATTTTTCCATTATATTTTCTAATTAGCCATCACCAATTGTGCATAAGAATAGTATAGATTTTTCATTGTTAACCTCTTTCAGCAATCTTGCAGAATTCTCTTACTAATCCTATTTGGTTTTCGGGACATTTTTAGGCATAGAATTCCTGGGACTTCCTCTTCTGCAAGCAGCAGCCTACATACGCTGACAAATCTTGTTGCCACATTTGTGTCTATCCTGTGGGAAACACAGATTCTCTTGCATAGCTGAGATTGCAGGAAGTAAGTGAAATCTCTAAGGGACCAAGCGAGTTGAAACTACTGAAGGGATAATCATACAGAAGAGACAAGTTTGCCCTGAATGCCAATGTCTATACACACAATGCAGCAAGTTCAATTTTGCAAGACCAAATGTTGGGCTAACAACAAGGAGAAGCTAAACCAAGACTCCTACAATAAGCTGGCACCCAGTAAGATGGCTAGTGATTAATGTGGTGCATAACTTGACACCCAGAAAAAGCAAATATAAACCTCCTCTGAATTAAGGCCCAGAATCTCCCACAGATTGATATCTATCTATGTGAATGCATAATCAACAGTCACCAAAGACACAAATAACAGACTTCCAGAGCAAGAGCCAAGAGAAACAACCAATAACAGCATTAGGTCTACAAGAATATCAGATATTGGAAAAATCAGCAATGTGACAATTCAGCTTAATTGTGTCAACTTGATTGGTTTGTGAGCTGCCCAAAGGATTAATAAAGTACATTTCTAGCTGTGTCTGAGTAGGTCATGGAGGTGTGATCTGGTCCCTCGCTCCTTCCTCTCTGGCACTGTTCCCCTCCTCTGCTTCCCCACCACCACAAACAAAGCATCTTTACTCCGCCATGCCCTTCCACCATGATGTTTCTACCTTGGAGCCAGCCAATCATGGACTGAATCCCCTGAAACCATAAGTCAAATTAAACCTCTCCTCTTTTAGGGTGTGGGTGTCAGGTATTATGTATTGGTGACAGGAAACCTGACTAATGCAGAGTATAAACTACTGTGCAGGGAGTGTGTAAAGAAATAAAAGATTGAATCACAAAATGAGTGAATAATAAAAAACTATCAAAACTGAGTGGGAAAAACTGATAAACACTGATAAACATATAGAACATTTAGAAATGTAAAATGGGACTTTAAAATAAAAACCCAGCATGTAATAAATAGCATATTAAATCCAGGTGAAAATTTGTTTGAACAGAGAATTAGTGAGCTAGAAAGCATATATGAACATTGTCAATAATTCAGTACACATTAGGATATGGAAACTATGAAATAGGCCAAGAGGTCTAAGACAATCTGGTATTTGTCTAACAGAGTCCCAGAAGAAAAAATAACAGAGAATTGAAAGATAACGACTGAAAGTTTTCTAAAATAAAGGAGAGATACCAATCTTCATTCATTCCAAGCAAGATACATTAAGAAAATCTATTGCCAATGTGGTGGACAGAATATCCACAAATTCCTCCAGAGTTCTCAGAAAATGGGGTTTAAAACCTTTGAATGTGGATTTGGTTTAATGACTTTCATATCTCTTTCAGTTTTTCTTTTGTGTATTCAATTTCTTTGTTCTTTCCTTCTTTCTTCGTGAGGCTATCCTCATCTGACCCTCCAATTCACTCTTCAGCTTGGAATTATCTTATCTACATATCTAATTATTATTTCTTTTTTGCAGTGCCAGAGTTTGAATCTAAGGCCTTGTGCGTGCTAGACAAACTCTCTACTGCTGATCTACACCCTCAGCCCTATTTTATTTATTTAATAATTATTTTTCCATATCTATTATTGCATTTCAACTATTACATTTTTCACACCCAATGCTATATTTCTGCTTGATGCTTTTTTCTGTTTTCTTATTTTGTTTCATATTGCTAATATCATCCTTTATCATTCTGTGTTTATGAAGCTAATTAGGAAATTTTGGTCCATCTGTTCTAGTATTTTGCTTCTGATGGAATTTGAAATCCAATATGTTGTTTTTCTTTTGGAATATCTGTGTTCTTCTGAGTTCTTGAGGCATGGGCTGCTCTGCCGGACTGTGCTTCCCAGGTAGCTCTGTGGCATGGGGTGAACGGAAGGGACTCAGGGTGGAGAGTGCTGATATCAGAAAGCCTCAGTCCTACCCCAAACAACTTCTTATCAGTGCATCACTGATCACACCCCATCTCTCTCCCAAGGAAAAAGCTACATTCGGAGGTGATGCTTCTTTAGGGTTATAATCCACTGGCCCTGGGGGTTTGTAGCGTGATGGGTGAGGAAGAAATCCCTCGAGGGTGCTGGTCCTTCTCTGTTTTCCTTAGCTCCTCACAAGTACCAGGCTTCTAATTTTGCTCCCAATATCTTGCAGACCAGAGGCCTTGGTCTCAACAGCTGTGCACAGAGCAGGTGCTGTTTCTCTTAGAGTGATGGTCAGGAAGAATGAAGAGAACAACCCCATCGGTTGCAGGGGTTCCTCAGAGCTTTCTTGGGGTTGTTTTTCTCTAGTCATTTCTGTGGCTTTGATATCCAGATTTGTTTCACTTCAGCATCTTGGTAAGAAACAGAACTTTATTCTGTTCTTGATTCTTGGACAGAAACCTTCTCTTGTTCTTTCAAGAATATGAATGATCGTTCCAATTTATTTTATTTATTTATTTTTTGGTACAGGGGATTGAACTGCGCTTGCAAGGTGGGTGGTGAAACCTCTGAGCTAGATCCCAGGCCCCGATCGTTCCAATTTAAAGGTGCTCCACTTTCATAATCTCTGTTGGCTGGCCTTTTAATGGCGTTTTGCCCCCTGTCTTCCATGTTAGGTGTTGATAATCCTTGTTGTCTGTTTCTGAGCAAGAATGAGACAAGACACTGCAGAGTCCCTGGAAAGCTCTGAGCCACAGGAATCTGGGGTTGTGGAGTGTTAGTGTGAGTCATTTGCATGGACTGTTCAGCACATCCCTGTATCCTTAGTTCTAGATCTTTCTTCTTGAGAATCTAGCAGGAAAGGTGAGGCGATTTCAGCATTTATGAAGCATATTAATTTAAGACCCTCTTTCTTAGCTAGAATATAATCTCCATACCCTCATATCTATTTTTCTCAGTCCAAAAAAAATACTTCCTAACTTATGCCACAGTGGAAGGGGGCATAGCTCATCAGTGTGGAGAAGCAAGAGAATAGAGTCTCACGGCTTCTTAAGCAGCTCTAACCAACTGCCCCTATTTACCCCTGCCCTTCCCACCATGCGCAGCAGCAGCAGTAGCAGCAGGGGCTGCCATTTTGGGTGCCCTGAGGACACTGTGGGCAGCTCAGGTGGTACCCCACTTAACCACTGCCAGTTTGGGACGTGGAGTTCTTGGACCTGCTAAATCAGCATCTTCTTGTCCATCTGCTTCCCAGTTTCTAAAATGTTATCACTGTTAATGTCTCTCCAATTTTCCTTGTCCTTATGGATTTATTTGTACTTTTAAAACAATCCCTTTACTGTAGGTTAAATGGCCTAATGGGAAGGAAAAAAATTCAATCCATAGGTTCAATCCATCATCTTTTCCTGGACACCTAAATTTTCTGCACAGAAAATTGTTACACTTGCAACTAAGAACAGTGTCTTCTCTTTTGATTCTTACACTTTTTTTTTCTTTTTCTCTGTGTCATTTTGCATAGGATCTTGAGTGCAATGCTGAACAGATCTGGTAATAGAAATTTTTGTCCTGGTTCTGAGTTTTGTAGGAATCATCCCAAACCCCTTCCTATTCTGTGTTTGCCATAGTCTTTGATAGATTCCCTTGATCAATTTGACCATGTAGGTTTACCTTTGCCTCTTGGAGCAACATTCCTCCCTCCTGGGGATGGAGTAGGACCCCTCTGGAATGAGGGTGGTCTTATCTACAATCAGAGATTCACAGGAGTGCCTTGGGGAGGAAATTAGGAATCAGGAACCACGGACGAAAACCAGAATATGTATATCATAATACTACAATTGGTTTCTACAGAGGTATGTTAAAATCTCCCAATAAGACTATGATTTTATCAATTCTTCCTTATAATTGTCAGTTTTTGCTTTATATACGGGGAGGCTGTGTTGCAAGATATACACAACTATATGAATTTTCAGTCTTTGTGGCTTGTTCCTTTTATTGTTATACGATACTCTCCCCCCTAACCTCCCCATATTGAGGATTGAACCCAGGGCTTTCCAACTGAGCTACATCACCTGCCCCCACATTATTAAATTTTTATTTTAAGATGGCCTCACGAAGTTGCCCAGGCTGACCTCAAACTTGTAGTCGTCCCACCTCAGCTTTCAAGAGTGCTGGGGTATCAGGCTTGTCACCAGTCCTCTCCGTGTTACCCTTTTTTATACTTACTGGTAGGACTGTATGAAAATGTCCTCTGTCTGATACTAGTTTTGCTATACCAACTTTCTTTGGTTAGTATTGTATGGCATGTATTTCCCATGTCTTTTATCTTATTGTACAGTTTTGTGCTAATGTGTTTATAACACTAAACGTATATTGTTGGATTTTTAAGAGTTCAATCTAGTGAATTTAATTAGTTAACATGAATTATAGATTCATTTGATTTCATTTCTACCACCTCAGTTTGTCATTTATGATTATATCCATTTTCTTTGCAATTTTTTCTCCTTTCTTGCCTTCTATTGGGTTGATCAAAAAGTTTTCTACATTCTGCTGATTTGGAAGCTAAGGACTGTGCTATGGTTTAGATCTAAAAGCTCCCATGAAGGTCCTACAGTGGAAGGCGGGGCATGTCCAGAAGGGGTTGGTCACTGGGGTGTGATTTGGAAGGATGTCCCTGGCTTCTCCTTCTCTCTCTGCTTCCCGGCTACCCTGGGTTGAGTACTTTTCCTCCACCATTCCCTTCTACCCCCCTGTTTCTGCCTTGGAACCTGCCAACCACAGCCTAAAACTGTGAGCCAAAATAAATCTCCTCGCCTTTAAGGTGTTGGGTAATGTGTCCAGCGATAGGAAAATGACTAATATAGATCATGTCTTCTCTTTTAATAATCACCATTACATTTTTTAAATATGTGCTTAACAATAAGTTACTCTGGCATTGTCAAAAATTTAGTATTCTATCTCCTTCCAAACCCAAATCCCTTAGTTTATTTTAGTCATCAACCAAATGCCACCCTTCCCTCTGTCTTTATTGTCTCTTTTTTAGAATTTCTGTTTCACCTTTTTAAGTCACAAAAATTTCCTTTCTAATGTTGGAAGTTAATTAAATTTACTAGCGTTTTATCAATGCTTGTGTTCACCCACATCTTCCTTCCTGGTCCGTTTCTTTTCTTGCTGAATTACTTTCTCTTGTAATGAACATCTGTGGGAGGTAGAGTCTCTTAGTCTTTGTATGTCTGAAAATATCTTTATTTTTCTTTGTTCCTGCATGATAATTTAGCTGCATATTAACTAAGGGCTTTAAAGATGTCACTCCATTGTGTCCTGGCAGGTACTGTTGCTGATGAGAAGCAGACTGACAGTCTAATAGCCATGCCTTTAGGTGTTGTTTATCTCTTCTCTGACCAACCCCTTCATGTTCTGCAGTTTCAGTACAATGTGTCTAGGTGTAGATTTATTTTTATTGACCTTGCATGGCACCTTCGTTGCACTTACAATAAAAGAATTCACACCCTCTTCAATCCAGGAAATTCTCAAGTTTTTTATTCTAAACATTACATCTTCATTCTCTTCCAAGACTCCTATTTTCAAACATTGGTGTCTCTCTCTAGCACTCATTCATGTGCTTTATTTGGTGCTATTTTCATCTATTCATCTCTCTGTGCTGTATTCTTTTTTTTTTTTTTCCATCTTCAGAGTCACTAATAAAGTTCATTCAATGGCTAATT